TAATGTCGATTATATAATCAATGTTGTATTTAATCCGGACATTAATTATCTATGGACACTAGCGAGTGTTTGCCTTTTGGTAGTGGTCCAATGTGTTACCTATACCGTGAAAACTTGACCTAAATTGTTGTACAGATTGCGATTTAAGGTCTCGAAAACGTTCTTCAAAGACTGTGCGCCGATTTGAATTTAAGGAGAACTACCGGCTTCCCTGAAGCTGATGCCTAGCGAGTAAAGTAGAAACCACATTGCACATTGGTTAGAATTTCACGTTTTTCAGAATTCCGATTTGTTTATTATTATTATTTGTTTTTTTTATTTGTGCACTCAAATTTGTTCGGATTAACAAAATTGCGTCGGCGGTTCGCTGGCTGATGTACTAGTATTTATCCACTGTCATTTAAATAAGCCTACATGGGTTTTTAGTAGGCTCTCTATTCATCACTATAGATAGTGATGAATATCCACGTCGATATTTTCTTTTATCCCGAAATAGGGTACGTCGATTTGAATTTACGGCACCTGTTTCAGTATTAATATAGCTGACTTTATCTGGAATCTCTGTGAGAGGCTTTACACAAAATAATACTATTAGATTAGTACATCGCAAATTAAACCGCGACTAATGATCAATGTAGTACAGCGTTCTCTAAAGTTTTTCTCCGTCGGACTCCTTAGAGATAGTAAAATTGATCACGGGCGCTTCCTACCCCCCCCCTTAAACCCTTTTTTTACTTCACTAATTTAGTTTTATACATGCATAGTATTTTTAGTTTACGTTCGCAGACCCCATCCGGTATACATTCTGCATGTATACTGCGTGTATAGTTAGGTGTCCACAGACCACAGTTTGGGGAGCGCTGATCTAGTATAACTAGCGTTAGGATGTTTATGATTTTGCTTTATTTTGGGTTGTCTCATAACTTTCATTTTTATATGGAAATGCGTTTCACGATGTCTATACTTAAAATACCGATATTTTATTGCATAATTTTACCATTTTTATTTACAAGTGCATATTTTGTGTTTTTTTAAAAGTTTTTCTATCTTTAAGCACATATTTAACAGTTTTCGGTACAAGATACTAAACATACAGTAATTTTATATTTTATTAATTGAATCCAACTGAATTTAATCATTTGTATTTTATATGGATAATATACATATTATAAATTATTTGTTGTTGAAAATTTGATTTGGGTTAGCGGAGTAGTCAGTGGATAGGTACCTACTTAAATAGAATTTTCGATAAAGCTCGTCAATCATATTTATCTTAAAATTATAAGTTATTACGATTTACAGATGATAACTGCAATTTGAATGATTAAATATTTTGACAAAGCATTTAATAGTTTGTTGCCGTCTAGTCTATGACCTATGTAGAGTATATTATGCGTTTAGTGTTGTTCTTGTTTTGCAGTGTATTTGATTTATTAAATCACTCAATAATAAATCTGACGTTCTACTCATTTTTTAGTAATGCTTAAAGTAAGAAGCTCTTATTCTTATTTCGAATTTATAACATATTAGTTTAAAAATTATATTTTGTAATATTATCCAGATAAATGAGAAATAATATTTATCCGAGATAAACAGTAATTGATTCATTTATATAGATATAAACTTTTTTGAATTACGAGTGGAGCGAGAAATGTAAATTGTACTGGTTTTACATTAATGTTAATTTTTATTTTTCTGTGGACAACTATTCTACCATAAATTTTGCTCCGGCTTACAATTATAGCCGTTTTTCTGAAAGGAAATCTGACTGGAGTGGTACTTTAGAGAGGTAATTTTTTGATTTTCCCAATAAATGAGAAAAACCGGAAAAAACCGTAGGAAAAACGGGAAAATAGGTACAATATTAAACAAATATTATCAAAGAAAAATATGTATATGAAATTATTTCACCATAATATGACATATGTTGTTGACAAAGCAACACTATCGACACTAACTCCGCTCAGAACTGTTTTTTCATTAGCAATGGTTAATCGTCGCGTACAACTGTACATTAAATGTCCCCTCTACTATTTTACCAATTTCTCACCTACAGCAGTGGCTCATGTGCGAAGTATGTCTGTCTATTTCAAATCGTAATTCATATTCGAGTTTCCATAGATATAAATTAATAGTATTATTAAATGAGTACATCAGTCACGCAACATTTTTGAATATTAGATATTGTGTACCGGGTACCTACACTTTTTCTGCTGTACATCACAAGTTGTTTATTATTTATATCTTATGTAGGGAATTCAATTTCCACGTACATTTTCCTAACAATGATCTCGCATCTTCAATAATTATAGATCTTTTTAGATTTATCTTTGTACAACACTCTGATTACTCTAATAACAATTTCACGATAAAATAATATACGGTATTTTTCGGCATTTGGCAGAGTTGATTTTTTTATTTTTTTCAAACGAGTTTGATCATTAGACGAGACGTGTAAATATAGTAATAAAATAGTATAAAATATGTTATAATAATATTATATACCTACGTTCAAATAACCAAATATCCTAATGAGACGTCGTGCAGATTTAGACACACTGTATAATTATTGTAATTTACGATCTTCGGACGCGTTATAATATTTAAATAAATATTATTAAACCGCGTTTAACGATATCGATACACGCCACGCGTTTTATGCGTGTTGTTATTATTTTAATGTTAGGAGTAGAGGTGCACAATAACGACATTAGCCACGAAAATCAACTGAAAACACGTATTCTATTCGCGAGTATTATAGTTTTAGAAAACGGATAGGTATATACTTATATAATTATAGAGTAGTATAAAATACAGAGTAATCAATCCACGATAAAACACTCATCGTCTCGAAAAGTATTAACTTTTTCCGGGATTTTGTTTTTTACTGTCAATTTAAGAAACAAACAGCTCTATAATATGACATTTACGTTATTTTTTATTACAATTATTTTTGGGAATGAAACTATTACCCGCTTTTGATTTTCAAACAGCAATCTATATTGAAAATTCTATAAACAGAGTAAGTGTTTGTTTGAACACATTTTGGCGTTCAAATTTTCAATTTTCGTCAACCCGTTGACGAAATATTTCACTTTTAATTTGGATAGGGGGAAAGTAGTTGAGCGTCATATTTATAGCAGCGTGGCACGAGGCATTTACATTGTACACGTAGGGGACTTAATTTAGAGCGACTGTTTTTGCATTTTTAGATCAAGTTCAAAATGTGCCTTTTGGGAGTTTCATCTGTCAAACCATTTATCAACTATTTGTTCGCTCAAATTGCACGCCATAATATGTTTATAAGAATTTCAATCACTATAACACTTGGCCCACTATTAATGAGTATATTGATACAATTTTTATTAGGCCGTCGTCCACTACTCTTGTGCAGTGTTGCATTACTCTCTCTCTCGTCTATTATAATGTTATGTTACGCACCCCGTGTGATGTCTTTTTGCTAAATATTTTCATCGTGCTAAATTACTAAACTTAAATTTTAAGATTATATTTTATTACACTGAAATTTACGATAAACGCGGCACAGTCTGTAGGATTTTCATATGAACATATAGGGTATCTGTTATTAGGAAAACAAAGAAGAAAACTGATTTTCAAAGTTTTTGGTTGAATATTAAAAAAATAATAATAATACTAAAAAATTGTGATCAGCTAGGAAGAAAATTTCATTCTAATTACAGAGCTCTGCTGTTAGCCGGTGTTATTTTTAAAATCTTAAATCAATTCGTGGCTGTGTCATAAATTTTTTTTTTTATGACTCGAAACTTTTTTTTGAAATCTTCCGATAAAATCTTTTTTTCAGAATCATTTAACAAAACGTGTATTAATAAAAATGAATAATTTCATCGTACTTTGTTGTTGGAACGCTGTATGAAGTTTATGTACGGTATTTTGTTAAAAGGGCGTCTATAAAATTTCACTTTTTTTCTCGAAGCAAAAAAAAAAAACAGCATGATATTTATCAAAGAAAAAAAAAACAATTATTTGAACACATAATAACCTTGTACATAAAATACGCATGCATTAAATCAATGGTCGTCATAACCGCACACTATCGAAAAAAGGTAGTCGTTCAAAATCGCACAGTTTCATGTATTGTTTTCCCGAAATTACACCGTTCAACATCGCACACATTTCACTTTGTGTCGGACGTGAGTTTGCCTAACAAATCGAGGGTTACCTACCTTCGACTGAAATTGTCCGAGTGAGCGCGAGACCGTAATGGGTCTATGATCTCACCTATAACGCTTTTCACTACCAATCAAACGTGCGCGGTATTAAACGATTTAAAACGTGCGGCCGTGAACGGTACGCGGGCCGTTTTGAACGACGCCCCGTTGAATGTGGCGCGCGCGCCCTTATCGTAGTAAACCAGCGTTGGTTTAATTATATTTTAAAAGGACTGTCTTTTGGTCGGCAACACCGACTCAATTGTACGTGTTTTAAATACGCCCTTTTACCGGTTTACGCTCCTAATTTCTCTGATAATTTTGTAACCGAGAACGTACTTTTCGATTTTCAGCGATGCGCGCGGTCTTTTTAACGAACCGCCATCGGTACGACACTGTACAGTAGTGGGGGGAGAGGGGGGGGGGTGGAAAGAAGCCGCATACGGTACGAACAATACAGTGCGGGCGGCCACTCTGGTTGCCGCGTCTCCGGCAATCCTCCGTCGGTCCGCGCCGTGCCGTACGAGTGACGACGTTACCACAACGGCGGCGGACAAACGCAGCCCGCGGGCGGAAGGGTCGTTTCTGGTCGCGCGCGCTCGGGAACCCCCCGGAGCCGCGCAATCTGCGCGCGGTTCGGCCGGACGTTTCCTCCGGGACACGAACGCGGAGATCCGCCGCGCCCCGTCGTTCGCATATCGCGGTACAGTAGCACGCGCGCGTGCCCGGCGGCCGTTAATATTCGCCGACCGTACAAACAGACGACGAAAACAATCATTTAGACCGGGACGCCGGTCCGCCGTCCCTCAAATGCCGCCGTTCGGTCCGGACCGCGAGCGCGGCGGCGGCGGCGGCGACGACGACGCGACGGAAACGGCCCGCGGACCGTGCTTCGGAAATAATTATTTCGGACCCGCAACGGCGGACCGTCATTGTTATTACAACGTTACGTGGTACTGCGTATACGCGCGCGACGTGCTCGGCCGCGCGCCACCCGTCGCGCGTTCCGTGTTCGCTTTGAGCGTCCGGTCCGAGTTTCGCAAACTCCGCCGCCGACGTCCGCCCGTTTCCGGCGCACAACGCGGTGGCGGCGCTGTTACGGCGTACGCGACGTAATAGTCCGTCAGCCGCGCGTCGCGTCCGCACCGGCACATCATAACCGCCGCCGTTACCCCGTTAGTATGGTGCGCGTTATATGCGCGCGCGCGACCGATAAATTACTAGGTGTCCTGTACAATGTACGCGTACGCCGTAGGTGCCCAATCATACAATCACGGCCGACCGAGATACACGAGGAGGGCTGGAAACACCGCGGGTTATCGAAACGGGATCTCGGACGTGCTGCGATAGTACGGCCGATTTAGATGCCAACGTAAATACCGCCCGTTCCCGCGGGAAGATGATTTGTACGAAAATAAAATTAAAAAAAAAAAAATAATAATAAAAACACGCGAGCAGCAGAGCTCTATCGCCGGAGTCGAATTTTTCCCTAGCCTAACCTAACCTAACCTAACCTAGCCGGCTAGTTGCCGTTACAATATTTAATTTTTTTTTTTTTTTTTACGAAAAAGTTTTATCAAAATAGGTTTTCGGGATTTTCGATAACGTACAAATTACGAACAGACGGTGCAGTCGGGAGATGGGAGTTCAAACATTCTAAAGGCCCATCGTTGACGACAATTCTGTTTGTGTACACATATTTTAACCGTGTTACTGGCACGAGGATATTCTTGCAAGGGTATTTAAAACCCTTTATTTCTTGTGAAAACACGAAATCTCAGCACAAATATGGTTGGGAAGGAGGTTAAGAGTTGAAACCGCTAAAGGCGCATCATTGATACTTGTACTATACATATACAAAATCGCATCCCGTTTGCTTCATTTTGGGGTGGGAGCCTGTAATGTTGTACAAAAGTATAAAAACTCCTATCCTGAAATTCCGGACTGATATTGAACCAAAAGTTTATCACTCCAATAATCTGCTTATGAAAAAAAAAACTTTCAATTCCTTAGTTTGAACGCTTTTGAATTTTGATTTAGAAGAAACCACTAAAAGTGACCAAATGTACTAAGAAAAAGAAATATCTATAAAAAAAAAAAAACATTTACATAATAAACACAATAAAATTCTCTATTTTCAAGAAAAATTTGACAAAAAATACCTACCCACTATTCAAATTTGAATTAAGTTTGTATGAAATTAATGCAAACGCATTGACCACTCGATACAAAACGATTTGATTGTTTGTGCTTAAACTAGAATATTTCAACCAATAAACGCCAAAATGTACATGTTCAAAGTAATTTTGTTCCGTTGCCCGTAAGACTAGTTTAAACTGAGATAATAAATGCTAGTAAAGCCTCCATTTACCTTACCTACCTGCTCGAATATCTCTCTCCTTCTCTCAACGTGTTTAAAAAATGGCCAAACACCATCTCTGTTTATATTCACTATGTTTTTTTTATTCTTGTATTTCCTTAAACCACAGCTACTCCTAGACAAATCCGAATATAATTGGAATATTTTTTTTCTTTATCTTTTTATCCGAATTGTACTAAATAATTATTATTGTTCGTTGGCCGTCGTTAGTCGTGAATACAATATCGCTAAAAGAACGTATACCTGTGGAAATAATATGTAAACGTATTATTATGATTTATACTTCGTTGCAGGATTCGTGTCTGTATAGTATTACTATTGCAGTGGTTATAAAATCAGAGCAAATCCGTTTGATTTATTATGCGGACGGGCTAAACTATCCTTTTACCTGCAGCTATATTATGTAGAAGCGTCTCCCTTGGACCGTACCTTAGTACGCAGCTATTAAACGTGTTTGAAAATAGGTTTTGTATTTATTTTTTTTTTTTTGTTTAACCGGTTACGAAACCGTCCCGAAATACAATAATAATTACCTCCGTCGCCCGGTCGGACGTTTCGAAACGACGATGACGACGACGATCTTTTAGAAAATCGTGCTGCTTACTCAATCCGACCTTAGCCTGCAGTATAGGTACGTTGTAAAAGAGTTCCCTACCTATCAGATCACGTTGGCGGACAATAATAATAATACTGCGAGCAGATATTCTCCTTAAATTTTTTCCGTACATTTTAAAATACATATAGTTTAATAAATACTAATTTTACTTCGTGATGACGTTAAAAAAAAAAAAATAATAATAAATGCTAACGTGGTTATAATCTAATGATTATCTAGTTCAAGACGGTAATAATCAAAACGCTAAAAAATAGTCAACTACGATATTTTTTCTTCTTTTAAGAAGCGTTAAAATTCAAGAACGTAACAAAAGTGTGTTAAATTATTGAACACTAGAGAACTGTTATTTCGCTTTAGATCAACACCTATTTTGGTTAGGTTGCGTCAGGTTATTATGGAAACGTAAAGTAATGGCATAATGCGTTTGCCGAAAATCCTATCCGTACCTACTTTCTTTTATGTTCTGCACCTAGTTGACCGAATATTCGTTGGATTTTCAAATCTCTCTCTTGAAATAGTTCTTTCCCGAACACCGTTGCAGTGTTTTACCGGATAGTCAATATGTTATTGTTGTATAGAAATCTCGTTATAAACCTTCTGTTTACACAATATAATCGCTGTTGTGATACCCAATAACAATGATGATTTATGTAGGCACCAATCGCGTACATTCGGGTCTGTCGTCGATCAATGACAATGTTATTGTTATACTACAGCGGGTACTACAACAGGTGCTTTATGTCGACGGGCAGACGCAATTATTACCGGTTTTAATTAGGATACGTCGATTGTTGTGCGCTCGATATTGTGTGCGACGCACGCGTAACTTTCGTCGTTGTCCGCCCACACACCGACCAGAAGAGAGCCTATAATATTTTAGGCGACGGCAAATTATCGTGCTTTGTAAATTATATAAAATCGTGTACCGGGTGTACTGTATGAGTAGCGTTGCGTCGGTATAGCCGCGGCGAAACCGTTACGAGCGGAACGGGTCGTAATATGGTCGCGCGCGAAGAAAAAAAAAAAAAACAACACCGACTATACAATAGACTCGCACTAGGTGATAATAAAACCGTTCTGTATTTTATTTCTTCCCGCTCTCCATATTACACAGTCGTTTTTTATTATTATTACATCAATTGGGTATTAGGTACACGGCGTACGCCCGCGATAAAACGCGAACCGTATTGCAACGCCTTTGTTCGCGGCATAACGATACGGCCGCCCGGTTAATTGGCGCGCCGCTATAATCGCGATCGGAACTATAACATGTTTTGCATAAGACCGTGCGCAGCTTGGTACGTTAGGCACGAACCTTCTTACAGGAACGAGGAAAAATTCAAATCAAATGCCATTTCGAACGGCTGCGGCGTATTCGAAAATAATTTGCGCACCGATTACCGATTTCATTGTAACACGTTGTCGCACTCGATATGCCCGCGTCGTTGAATTTTGCCGCGCGCGATATCGCTGTTCGGTACAGTACAATACAACATATTAGTGTTAGTGTTACAATGTTAGCGGTCCGCGTACCCTGGTTTTTTGTGAGTGCGTGCTCAAATCGAATACCGCGAAGCGATACCGTACTGTGCTGTATCGGCGCAGCGACGTTGCTCGCTCCTCATCGGTGGCGTTCCCGCGAACGTTCTATTGCCCGGCGAGAAAATGGGAGGGGGAGGGGGTCGCGAACGCTATGCAAGATAAACGACGTGGAAAACGCGCTGACCCTGGCCCGGGATAATCGACAAAACGCTGCGGAGACGCGCGTCCACCCACGTGCTCCGCGTCCGGCCGGTACGATTAACTTTTTTTCTTCGCGGATGATATTGCAGTTTCCCCCCCCCCCCCCCCCCNCCCCCCCCCACCCTTATCGTATTCGCACGTCCGATTCCACGGAGTCGCCGCGGCGCGCGACGTTCGCCGGACGCTCCGAACCGAAAGACGGACGAAATTTTCCGGCACGCCGCGCACGGTTCGCCTGCGAATAACGCGCCGTCACGGTGCGAACGCGCGACGACAAGCGCCCCGTGAACATTCGACGCGACGTTTAGACGACTCGGACGGGTACCGAACGATGCCGGCGCAGGATCGGCTCGCGAAATCGAAAGTCGCGCCCGCCCCTTCACATTGTTACCGTCGCTTTGTAAATACGCGCGCGTTACGCACGGAAATCGGTTTCGTTTTCCCTCCGCTCTCCGCGCGCCACGGCCGTTCCGGTGTTTTCGGCGCGGGCACGGCCGACAAGCCGAAACGAAACCGAAAGCGCGACAAAAACAACATTGTCGTAATGCCGGCGCGCGCGCGCCCGTTATTGTTTCCGCCGTTTGTTCGACGGCGACGGCGAACCGCCGCGGCGCGCGTTCCCCCCCCCCCCCCCCCCCNCCCCCCCCCGTACAACTGTCGCGGCAGCAATTTACAAAACGATCGTCATTACGCGAGACTCCCCCTCCCCACCGTACGCGCCGTCCGCCCGCGTTCCGAATTCGATTTCGTTCGTGTTTACGCGCCCGTCAAGCTCTTCCGTTGCAGTTCGGTAACCGTACGCCGTCTCGTCGTCTGTTCGTTTTTGGTTTTTTCCGTCCGTTTTCTTTTCCGTTCGGCCGGTCGGTCGGTCTAAACGGCCCCATTGTTTCGGCTCTTCGCCATTGCCGTTGTTATTGTTATAGCTTCCGGCGCGCGCGTCAATTCCCCGATTCGCACCCCGATGCGAACCGGTCGTCCGCCGCGCCGCCGGAAACTCGGCCATCCGTTTACCCGTTTGGAGTGATCCGTAACGGCTCTGGCGCGCCCGTACGTCTCGGAGAGCAGTCAGTGCTTTCGCGATAAACCAAAACGTTTTCGTGCGAACGAAAACCGTAAGACGAAATCGTTCCCACCGGTGCGTTTTTTTTTTTCGACCGCGATTGTTGCATTCTTACCGTATACGGTGCGGTCAATTATTCTTACTCGTTGATATTTTTTCCCTTTTATATAATATCGTGACATTGAAACTTGTAGTTTATAAATCATTAAAGCCATAACCGAGATGAAATCAGAATAATAAAACTGTTTACGAAACGTTCGAAATTCGCAGCGTTACACAGCTGCTTGAAAATAAATTATGGTAGGAAATGAAAATGT